ATCTAGGGAAAGCATCTAGATTCCAGTGAAGGGACCGAGATCCTGTTCAATAGTAGAAAGAAGTGATATAAAATATGCAACCATCCTTTAAGTTGCCAAGGCCAATCAACAGTCATATGCAGCCACCTTCTTCTCTGAGGTTCTCTTGCCCTTGGGCTGATTCACACAACTGATTAGATTCCTACACTACTGATTGGGGTGTGGAGGTCATTGCAAGTAGAGGCAAAACTGGCTTTAAAAGAAATGTTTCCATGGTGTTTTCTGTACTCCCCTGATCTTTTAGTCACAGGAGGATTGCAGTTTCTTAGTGAGGAAAGGCAGGCCAAAGTGTGATCTTGTGGAATAAACAGCCCTAAGACGAGGAATTGGAAAACTTTCTGTAAAGAGCCAGATAGTAAATATTTTAGGCATTGTGGGCCACATATAGTCTCTGGTACTATTACATCTTACAGATCTATAAGCTGCATAGGGTCAGCAGGGCTGCCTTCCCTCCTGAAGCTTCATGGGAAACTATTCTCTTGCCTTTTTTAGCTTTCTTTTTTTTTTTTCTTACAGTCTCATGTAGTCCAGGCTAGCCCTGAGTTTATGATGGCCTTGAATTTCTTCTGTCTCTACAGCCCAAGTACTGTGATCACAGATGTGTGACACCATACCTGGTTTTACCTTACTTGTGGGGATCAAACTCGGGGCTTCATACATATTTGTTATGTACTTTACTAATTAAGCTATAGTCCCAGTCCACTTTTCAGTTCTGTAGGTACCCCACAGCCCTGGGATCTTGAGACCTTTAGCAAGAGAGGATCTCTGACTTGCTTTAGTCTTCACATATCTTTCTCCTCTTCTAGTCTTCCTTTTTCATTTTGAAGACCAGCTGGGATCGAATGGGGCAAATTTAAATAGTTATGTGTGACCTTTCTGTTTTAAGATCAGCTGATTCACATGCTTCATTCCATCCGAATATGTGCATCTTTTGCCATATAATCTAATATATTAAAAGGATTAGGGTTTCAGTTTCTTTGGAAGGTGTTCATTACTGGGACTATGTTAGTTGGGGGGGGTGGATCATACTAAAACAGTCTGTGTGCTGTATTTTGTCAGCCCCTGAGCTATGTAATACTTGCCTTCCAAATTAAATTATCTCTATGCTGGGTGTAATTTTGTTAAATTTTAAATTATCTGTGTGCACGTATGTGCATATGAATGCTATGACACGTGTAGCTGACAGAGAACAACTTGGAGGAGTCAATTCTCTTCTTGTACTAGAAAATGGATGGTTCATGTTTTTGCCATCCTTCTAGCTGGAACCCAAACTTCTGGGTGCTTCTCCTGTCCAAGCCTCCCACTTTGCTGTAGGAGTTCTGGGGTTACAGATGCAAGCCACCACATCCAGCTTAATATATGGGTTCCAGAGACTGAACACAGGTTGTCAGGCCTGTGCACCACCTACCTTTATTTACCTAGCTACTTCAGTAGCCCAAGAATCGTATTCATTCTTTAGCACTCAAAATAAGGAGATATATTCCAGTTTCTTTCTGTTCCTTTCACCAGTACTGTAGCATCCATAAGAGAAAGCCTTATGCAGGGAGGAGTGTGATCAAATATTCAAGCTCATTTTCAGAGCACAGCATGGTGGATCATGCCTATAATCCTAGCACTTAGAAGAGGAAGGGAGGAAGAAGAGGAGTTCAGAGACATGTTGGCTGGGACTATAAGTGTGCACCACCACACCAGATTCTGATGCTGTATTTTTAAGTGGCTGTATTCAGGTGAGCACAGTGAAGTTTTCTGTATTCATTTTTTTCAGTCTAGAGGATGGAATCCAGTGTTTCACGTCTATTTATGCAAATCTTCTATCACTGAACTACATGCACAGCCCTAGTTTTCTGCATTCTATTTTCAATATAAGAAGTTACACAGATACAAAATACACATACTGTGCATAGCACCCCAATTATATTGAATTTTTCCAACTATTGGATCAGGATTGCCATTTTAAAACAAGAGTCTTACCAAAGCTGATGCAATTCTTTATTTTGCGATACTCTGTACCAGGATGCATGATGTTTTCCTGCTGTGTGCTAGCCAGATAACATGGATAGGCTGACTCCCATGCTGAATACCCCAAATTCTATAACTTCAAGTTCAGAAACTTTCAGAATCGTGGTTTTCAAAAAGTTGGCTTCTACTAACTCTTTCTCCAGGAGCTACAGTATAAAAACTAGCAAAACAAGGAAGTATACCATAAAAGGAAATAGAAAGTGAGAAATGGAGTGCAGCAAAGAGGTAGAGAGAATTCCTAAGGCAGCTGGGCCATTCTTGTCATCCACTTGTGGGTAGGATGTGGAGATGGACTTGAAGACTGATGCTAAGAGACTGAAATTGTTAATTGGCTGTGAGGGATGGAATCTGAATGTGTAATAAATGGAAAGTTCAGCAGAGGAAAGGCTATGATAAAAGTGGGACACACACATCCAAACTCACAAAAAAATAAAATGTTGAATTTAGTTTACCTTCTGGCTCAGCTCTGAGCATCATTTCCAGAGTTCACATGTAGCAGTCAATATTTAGCTTGAATACTGATCTGTATGGACATGATGGTGAGGTGGGAAGTGGTGATCTGTGTAATGGGGCCAAGAGGAAGAGGTGTTATATCCTCATCTTCCATACTGAGAAGTCAATACTTGATACCTCATGAAGGAACAAGATTTGAGTTGTGATTGGTAGCTGGAGACTTGAAAATAAACCTCTATCTAAAACGCCATCAAAGGTTGAAATTGCTTGTCTCCAGGCTGTTTAACTGCTATAAATGAGTCTTACGGAATGTGTGTGTATGTGTGTATGTGTGTGTGTGTGTGTGTGTGTGTGTGTGTGGTGTGGTGTGTATGTGCATGTGTGTGTGAAAGAGAGAGACAGACAGAGTGACAGAGACGCTACTAGTTCTTACTCTGTAGTCCAGGCTGGCCTGGAACTCAAAGGAATGCTCTTACCTCAACATCCTGAGTACTGGGTTCATGATTTAATTGCTGATTGTGTGTAGGGGGGTGTGCATTATCTGTAAATGTTTCTGTGGTCATGTACATGTAGAGGCAACAGGCAGTGTAAGATGTTATCCTCCATCCCCTTTGCTTTACTTTTTGAGACAGTGACTCTCACTGAACTATTCAGTGGGCTTCCTTGCTGGCCACTGAGCTCTAGGGATCTGCTGTCTCTGCTCCTCTAGAACTGGGGTTAATGTGTGCCATTGCACCTGGCATTTATTTTATTTGTTTGTTTGGTTTTTTATCTTTTTGCTTTTTTTAAATTTAATGTTGATTCTGGGGAGGCAAAGTCAAGTCCTCTGTTTGTGCTGCAAGCACATTACCAACTTAGCCATCTCTCCAGCTTCCGTGATTTGAATTTTTAAGACAATATCCATTCTTAACTTTAATAATAGAAAAACTACCATAAGGAATTCATCAGAAAAGGCCTGGAACTTAGAAAGGCTCCTTGCAAGATCAGCTCTTGGCTGGCCTATGGAAACTGAGCTCTTACAAGGATTCCCACACCATTCTTTGGTAAGAATGGTTCGTTATGTATGAACTCTTTTAACAGCTAGGAAAGAAGGTGGCTTACACTGAACTACTGTACTATTGCCTGCCTGGTGTGGAACTAGCATTTTGATATGCACTAGGCAGCGGGTGATGACAGGACCAGCTTCCAATAAATAACACTAGTCCTTAAGTCTGTAAGTCTTCCCTAGTAGACAACACTTCCCAGAAGTCACAGGTCATTGCTGGAGACTTTTAGCTGAACAGTTTGAGCTGCACTTCTGTGACTCTTCTGGGGGAAAATGCTTGGGAGTTTATAACTGGATTCCTTCATGTACTTTTCCCTTTGCTGATTTAGTTCCGTGTCCATGCCATCTTATAAGTCACAGTCAAGATTATGACTATGAGCTGAGTCCCATGATTGGATCAGCTGGATTGCTGAAGTTGGAAGTGGTCTCAGGGAGTCTGGGAGACTATGATATTAACCAATGTAGTGATGGCTAGTTTTTAATTGTCAAACTGACAGAATCTAGGATCACCTGGGAGATGGGCCTCTGAGCTAGTTTGTAGGGAATCTTTTAATTTTTTTTATTTATTACAGTTTATTCAATTTGTATACTAGCTCTAGCCCCTCCCAATCCTTCCCTCCCTCCTTCCTCTCCCATGCCCTCTCCCCAGTCCACTGATCGAGGAGGTCTTCCTCCTTTTCCATCTGACCCTAGCCTATCAAGTCTCATCATGGCTGTCTGCATTGTCTTCCTATGTGGCCTGGTAAGGCTGCCCCCACCCGAGGGGGAGGTGATCAAAGAGCCAGCCACAGAGTTCATGTCAGAGATAGTACCTCTTCCCCTTACTAGGGAACCCAGTTGGAGACTGAGCTGCCACAGTCTACTTCTGTGCAGGGGTTCTAGGTTATTTCCATGAATGGTCCTTGGTTGAAGTGTCAGTCTCATACCCCTGGGCCCGGATTTTTTGATTCTGTTGCTCTCTTGTGGATATCCTGTCCCCTCCAGGTCTTTCTATCTCCCCCTTCTTTCAAAAGATTCCCTGCACTCTCCCCAAAGTTTGGCTATGAGCCTCAGCATCTGCTTTAATACCCTGCTGGCTAGAGTCTATCAGAGGACTTCTGTGGTAGGCTCCTGCCCTGTTCTGTAGGGAATCATCTTAATTGTGTTAACTGAGATAGAAAGGCCCACCCACAGTGTGTAGCACCATTCCCTGGCTGGGCCCTGGCACCCTGTAATGGGGAAAGGGAGCCAAGAAGCAGCATGCATTCATCACTCTCTGCTTTTCAGATGAGAGTGCAGTATGCTCAGCTGTTTCAAGGTCCCTTCATCTTAGGTTCCCAGCCATGATGGGATTTACCTTGCACTGTGGAGCCAAAATAAACTCCTCCCTCCTTAAGTTGCTTTTCTTAGAGTCCTTTTAAACATCAACAAGAAAACTAAGACAAATGGTGTTGTTCTTTTTTAGCGTTGAGATTGGTGAAAGTGTGAGAGGGGAGGATGTCTACATCATCCAGAGCGGCTGTGGGGAAATTAATGACAACCTAATGGAGCTACTCATCATGATCAGTGCATGCAAGATTGCGTCTTCATCCAGGGTAACTGCCGTGATACCCTGCTTCCCGTATGCCAGGCAAGATAAAAAGGACAAGGTAAGGAGAGGTTCGTCTTGACCTAAACCTGCTGTGCTCACCACAGTTTTCTCACCTACTGCCTTCATTAGACTATCCAGAAGTATTGTAAATATGTGCCCTCATGTTGTCTGTTTCAGATTTGTCATTGAACCCATCATATGTATCAACACAGGCAATGAATGTTTTCAAAGGCATTTAACTACCATTATCATTATCCTTGTTATGATAGTTTTATAAGGTGGTATATAGAGGTAAATGCAAACACACACACACACACACACACACACACACAATACACCTCAGTTAGCACAAGTGAACTGAAGACCATCTAAAGTACCTCACTGCCTTGGATCAAAGTGAAGACTCCAATTGCAATATTGTGTTCTTGGAAGTGGTTTCCATTGTAAGACTCTAGGTAAAAGGGCCATAGGGCACCTGTATTGTTACTTCCAACTGCCTGTGAGTCCACAGTGGACCCTTTCTTTTTAGCCTTGTAAGAGAACAATTATATTACTTATTATTTTTAGCAAAATTCCCATAAGTGTAGGCTCTGTAATTTTCCAGGAGAAGCTGAAGGAAATACAGTTGTTCTTAGCCTTTATGACACATTAGAGACGGTTGGTTAGGGGTTTCATTACAAATTACCATGAGCTGGGCAGATTTATGGAGAGAAAATTATTCTTTAGAAGTTCACAAAGCAGATGTCTGAGGTCAAGATGTGTCCGTGCCGTACTTGCTCTAAGGGAGTATCCTTCCTGCCTCTTCCAGCTCCCCAGGCATTCAGGCTTCTCTTGATCAGGGGCCTTATTGTTTCCATCTCTGCTTTTGTCTTCAAGACACTTGTCTGTATATGTGACACTGTAACTAAATTTAAGGCCATCCTCAATCAGGATGATCATATCTCATGATCCTTCATTAAGTATATCTACAACAAAGATTCTACATTTGAGTGACATTAATAAGTTCTGAGGGTCAAGATATAGACATATATTTTTAGAAGTCTTTATTCAATCCACCATAATTTTATACAGCCTCCTCTAAGACTCTAGGGGACGATCATTCCTGCCTTGCCCAGTAGCTCCAGGCAGTCTCCTTGTTCTGGCTACATTCCTTCAGGTTCCACCTATGTCCTCTATAGCATGGTTTCTCTTCTAGTTCTGCCACCACTTCAATCACTTATAAGGACAGAATCATTGGATTTTGGTCCAAGCTTATCCAAAATGACCTCATTTCAGTATCTTTATATTAATAGCATCTGCAAAAACCTTTCTACATTGAGATCCCATTCCAGACTCATGGGCAAGTATGAATTTGGGGAGACAATATCATTTGCCTCATGACAGTGATTAAATTAAAGCTACTGTTTCAAAACAGAACTCATGATTCCCATGGATTTGAAACATAAAATAAAACAAAATAAGCTGTACAAACATTTATATACTAAGATCTCCTTGGATATTAATTCAACATCCTCAGGAATGGTTCCCAGAGTCTGTAATGAACACAGCTAGTTATTCAGTGTATCGATAAAATGTGATAGGAAGAATTTCAGTCAGTACTCAAGACATGATCTACCTTATATGGATAGAAGAGTCAGCCTATTTTTTTCTATAAATCTCCAACTTTTATTGCAGCTACCCAACAGTGTGCCTTAAAAACAGGCATAGAGGACAATGTATAAATGAGTGTTGTGGGGAGAAGGAGGATGGACAGGGTGGTAGGGTAGGTGGGAGCTGAAAGTGGTTAGTATTAGCATGCATGTGTGAAATTGTAAAACAAGTCAAAATTAAAATGTATTTATAGACACTCGTGAATTCCTTTTTTTTTATATGCCATTTAGTATTATTTTCATTTCCTCCAATTATTTACACATTCAAAAGAAACTTAGTAGCTCATAAACAGTACCCAAACATGTGCCAGGCCAGATTTGGTTCACAAGCCACACCTTGACTTAGAGTACTGCTTAGATTTATAATTAGTTTTGTGTTACTGTAACTAAAGGATCTGTGCTGAGTAACTGATAAAATAAAGGGGCTTATTGAGTAAAGATGGAAAATACAAAAACTAGACTTTGGCTTCGTGGCAGGTGTTCAGAATATGACAGAAAAAAGAATTAATCACATGTAGAAGGGAAATGTGTTTGAAAGAAACAACAGAGTGGGTATGGATCAGTTTCATGCTTTTTATTACACCCCATTCTTGTAGGAAGTTGCTCAATGAGATGGTTAATTTTATTTGTAAACCTGACACAACCTAGAATATCCCAAGAAGAGAAACCTAATGAGGGATTATTAGGTTAGGTTTCTCTGTGGGCCTGTTTTTTGGGGATTGTCTTGATTACATTAATTCAGGTTGGGAGATCCAGTGTGAAAGTGGGTGGCATCATTCCTTTCACTTGGGTCCTGGGTTGAATAGAAGAAAAGTGAGCTGAGTATAAGCATGCATCCATTCATTCATTCTTCTCTGTCGTTGAAGTCCTTGACCCCACAGCTTCCCCAGGATGATGCACTGTATCCTAGAGTTGTGAGTTAATTAAAACCCTTCACCCCTTAAATTGTTTTTGTCAGGGAACTGACTGGCAAGGGGCTTGATATATTGTTAACATGATTACTTTGAATCAAGTTCTCTTCTTGTAGGTTTTGTATTTTGTGTTTGGCTGGGGGATAATGTTACATAGTGGCTTCTTTAGGAAATTTTGGCTTTACATGGGTACTGTCCTCTTGGGGGGCATATGTTGGGATTCCAGATTCTTCTTTAAGAAATACAAATGCCCAGACACATTTGGTGTTTGTTGTTGACATGCTGATACATGGTAACCTTTTCTAAAGTAGTATTTGCTAACTTCTTTTTTACTCCCAACTAATGATAGAGAATCCACCTCTGCCTGCCAGGTGCCCCTTGAATTGCAGGAAATGTTTATGACTTCTGGTCTCTGTCCCCTGATTGCGAGCACTCGCTTCTAGCTATTATGCCAGCAAAAAGAGCTCTGTGGGTTTCTTAAAACACCAGTAACTTTTTTTTTAATTACGTTGTGTATGTGTGTGTGAGAGCCCACACATACATGAAGGTCAGGACAACTCCAGGGATTAAACACATGTCATTAAGTTTGGTGGCAAATATCTTTACAAACGCAGTCATCTCACCCCACCCTCTTCCACCCCCAGTGACCTTAGTTGTTTTTCGGAACTCCACTGTGTGGCCAGCTGTCTACCAGTTTCCCCATTGTTAGACATTTAGGTATGTTTTCCATTTTGTGCCATGTTGGACATGTGTCCCATGCTTTTGCAAACTTAGCTGCTAATACACAAGATAAGACTATCATCAAGCAGCAAGGCTAGGATGACATTTGAGAGACTATGAGTATAGCTCAGAAACTGTCACTGTTAGAGAAAAGAGGCAACCATTAGAGGGTTTCATTTTTTTAGCACCCCTGCAACAAATGACTGCAAACAGAATGACTTAAAACAGCAGCAGTGTATTCTCTTACAACTCTTTAGTCCAGCATTGCCAAATCAGGTACCAACATTCCAACTGTACCAATGGGTAATAATGAGGTCGGTGATGGATGAGGAGAGCATTTTCAGACTTGGTTAAGCTTTGACATAGTACAGGTTTCCTCTCATTGATTGCTTCCAACAGGGCATGCTAGAGATTAAAAGGAAACCAGAGGCTGACTCTACCAGGAAACAAGTGTCCACTCCACACACTGTTCTCTGGTCACGTCTAAGGGAGTCAAGACCCAAGGGTTGCTAAGGAGCCATGACTTTCTTTCTTTTTATGCTTACTTAAGTGTGCATGTGTGTTTGTCTTTGTGTGTTTATATATGTGCCACAGTACATTTGTAAAGGTCAGAGGACAAATTTGTGGAGTCAGTTTTCTCCTTCCACTTTTATGTGAGTCCAGCTCAGGCTTACGTAGCAAGCACCTTCCCCTACTGAGCTACCTGGCTAACCCCTACAACCATGACTTCTAATGGATCTGAGTAGTCCATCGAACTATCATAAGGAAACAGTTTCATTCTCTCATCCAGTTTAATCTGTTAACCTGTCATTCAAGTTACACCATTTGTATTCTCTAAACTTCTAAAAACTGATGGCTTCCTTTAGACCATGCAGCTTAGCTTGATGTTGAGAAACTGCTCGGTGGGCAATGAGGATTTAGTAAGATAAATAAGCGGTGTCCAGAACCTGGTAGCGTACTACTTCATCTCTTAGCCTACTGTTACCATTTCCCAGTATCTGGGGACCCTGAGAACACCAACCGTGATGTGAGATGGAGAAAGGTATTTCCCCACACACACACACTTATGAAGGGAGAAAACCAGGTGGTATTTGAATGTCATAGAAAGCCATGTGCTAAACTTAATCTCTGGACCTAGACAGAATATTCTTGTTGGCTACAGGAGGAACTCTGGGCAGCCTTCCCAGGCTGCCTATTGTTCTTTTCTCTGCCTTTTGGGAATGTATTGCCCATGGCCTCTAATAGCACTGTGAAATTCTGTGTAATTGCCTCTACCAAGAAGTACTAGCTGAAAGAGGCCAGAAAAATCTCAAGGCTGTAAACCATCTTCCAAACTTGTCTCATTTGTTTTTACCCTTAGTGCTATGTCTACTGAAAGGTTTGTTTGCTGTTGATTTGTAAGTGCCAGAACTCAAGGGCAGCTTTTCACAGGAAAGAAACAGTCTCATTAAAGACCACTTAACACAATAGAATATTCACATGGGAAACTGACAATGATGTCATAGTAATTGACAGAGGAGTAATGTAAGCCCTTGAGTTGTGGCTTTACAATGAGGTGGGCTAAGCTTTCAACTCCAACACCACTATTCACCCAGTTTGTCCTTTTCAAAAGTTACTTAAACTCTGCACCTTCAGTTTCCTTATTGTAGACTAAGGAGCATCTTAGTTACTATGGATGGCCTGTCATACACATGTAGGTGAGCCCATTTAATGGTTGTTGTGACAGCTCAACTTCTCTCATTTTAGTGTAGAAACTGCCATAGCCAATATGCAAATGA